TGTGATGGTAGCTCCTTCGTATATATTGAATCTTATGAAAACTGCTACAGGAAGTGAAGGTGACCCTGTCCCTCAAACAGAATATCTTCAATTGTTCCTATTGCTCTGTTTACTAATCTGACTTCAGTCTATAAATTTGCCGTTAACATAACGTGTGATCCTTTTGCCAGTAACAGTTTGGCTTCGAGTTCCTTTACTATGTCTGAGTTAGCTCTTTTAGCCTCGCGTTCACCAGTATGTACTGCATGTATCTTGGCTACTGGCTGATTTAACGATTGGAGCATCTCTATATTAATTCTGTTTACGTTAGCCTACGTAGTTAGAATCGAAATGGAGTCTGAAAATCGATCCCATTCTGAGTGACTGAGTTTTTCTTCAAACTTGGTGTCAAGTCTCTACTAATCATTAAAGCTGCTGTCTCCTTCACGCAACCTTAAAAGTATGTCTCGAAAGCTTTGTTGCTTTTCAGTTTCGCCTGATTGACATTGTATAATATCAAGTTTATACACCTCTCTAAATTGTTTGTATGCTGTTATCCTATTATTAGATCTTGTGTCATGCGATGCGTTGCTAGCATACATCAGAAGGTCAAGAACCGGTGGGAGCTACCCAAAATCTCCGAACAGTATGATAGATCATCTACTAAACATTTCGTTTTTGTTTTCGGAAAATGCTTCTCTTAATCGCACGTCAATTAAAGCGAGCATTCGACGTCTGACCATGCTTTTCTCGTCGATAATAAGGTAAATCACGTTTTGTAATCGTTCTTGTAGTTGTTTCAGCTGGCTGCTATCTAACTCAAAGTTTTTATTGTTGTTAAGTATGGGTATAGATAACATTGAGTGAATTGTCACTCCGTTTATGTTAAATGCTGCGACTCCTGTAGGTGCGATCACCTATACCGGCATTTTTGCTTCATTCCCTGCCATGATGTTAAGTCACTTCCTTATTGTCCTAATAAGATAAGACTTTCCTGTTTTTGCAGTGCCCATAATTATCATTCTCAATGCTTTTACCTAATTGCCCATGAGTATGCTATTATAATGTGATTCAATTCGATTAAATATTATTCTTTGATTTTCGTTTAAGGTATTAAAATCGGCTAAATCATCATTATTTTCTCTGCTTCTGCTTATTCTATTTATTAACGTTTGTTACACAAATTCGCTGACCATTGAAATGTCATTATGAGAATAATTCTGTTGAGTATTATTAATCCAGTCATGATTTCAGTCCATGTCACGTGTTCTGAGGTCAGACTGGCTATTGATTTTTACATTTGGGTTCATTTCTGCAAGGTGTATTCAGTCATATTTATATTCTTCATAATCGTCTTCTTCTGCCATCTCGTTCTGACTGTTATCATCACTGAATTCTACTTCTTTGCCTATGTGATTGTCAAGCAGATCGTTTGGTTCATGATCTATCATATCGCTGTATTGACAATAAACTGTGAACCATAGGATGGTGCTATTTCCGTTTAGTTCTTGTATACTCTGATGTCGAATGTGAAGTAATACCTTTATCCTGCAGAAATTCTCCCACTGGTCTCCGTCACGAATTAGTGATGGTCGTGGCCATATTTTAACAATATTTTCTTTCTTGCATTTCTTCCAATTCCCGTTAACGAATTTGTGTATTAAGTATAACCTAAAGAGTGAAAATCCTTTGAGCTCTTCTGGCTGATTCCAATTTTTTTTAGGCTAGACTGTGTTGTACGTCCTATTTTATTACTGAAATCATCACCATTTTCATTACTACCAGTTTCTTGAATCCATCTGGGTGTTTCCTCGTTGACATTTAGTGAGACAAATGATCGATTAATGTGATAAAGTGGAATACTAAGCAGGAGATGGCATGTTTCTTGAGCTGATATATCTCTTTCCGTGACGCTATTAAGAAGAAGTTTTTGTATTGATGAAAGTGAAGGATCATCAGGGTTACTGTTGTTGAGAATTTGATTGAAAATCTCTGAAAATACCATTGACCTTGGTTCTGTTTTACTAGTATATTTAGAGATGTACTGTAGAGCCGTGTGAATACTAAGTATTGGTTTAAGATTCACATTTGCACGCCATCCCTGCAATTGTAAGCGGTTGTGAGGATTGATGTAGGGATCGTTTCTCTTTGTCATTAGCTTTAGCATCCTGTTATGATCATCGCATATAACTGTATGATCGATAATATCTTTTAGATATCTGAACCTACATGCCTGTTGACTTTTATTAATGCAAATGCAATATGAAGAACTACACCGCATGTGACGTTGCAATTTGTTAATAAGTTCTATGTAGTCTTGTGAATTGTCATCGATTTCGTCTTGACTTTTTTGACATAGATGACGATTTGGTATAGCTGCATTGATGTTTGGATTAACTGTAGTAACTAATAAGTCTATATACTGTATTATATTGTTCATCAAAGCTTCGTTTTCCTTCATTTGAGTCCAGTCGATTATAGGTGCGTTCTGTATCTTTCCTATTCTATGAACATGTACGCTTTCTCTATGTTACCATTCATATCGGAACCACTAGTCTTCTAGATTCCATTGTGATACCAATATATTATTAAGGAAATTCTCAAATCTTTTATTGAAGAACCAGGCTGCTATATATGGGTTGTCAACAATGTTCTGTTGTCGTTGTTTGGCCGATTCTGCTTTATCCCCAATGTTTTCACCATTTAGCATTAAGTTATGTAATTCAGGTCAATGCAAATCTGCCGCACTGAAGGTAAAAAATATTAAACCTTGATGTCCAATTTGCTTTATAAAGTCTGACAATTCATTCCTTCGTGTCATCCAGAACTGCCGAGATTCTCGTAATCCTTTTCTGTATCTCATAATTTATCGGTTAATTGTTTGTCACCACTATTTATCATTTCCTGAATGTCTGTAACATTGAGTTGTTTGTCCCTTAAATTTTGTTTAACATATACTCTTCCTTCTTGCAATGCTCTCCATCTCATTATGGAGTTTAATGCAAAGTATCTCTAATGTGTATGCCAGGCAAATCTTCTATCTTTGTATCAAATCAGATGTTTAAAATACTCGGCAGGTTTAATATCCTTAGGACGTTCTGAATGAAAATTTCTGCATCCGTATGGATAAAGCGTTAAAAATGCTCTCGCTATATAGCTGGACGTTTGAAATTTATTTATAGATGTATCGTCAATTTCCAGCCACAGCAATGTTGGATTGTTGCTTTAAACATACATAATTGAGTGTATCATTAATAGCAATACCTTCCCGATGTGTTGAAGGGAATGCAGATACAAAAGTACGTGATATTGATTCGTCTCCAATTTCGTCATTATCAGAGTGATTCTCATCAGTTATTTGATTGTTCTGAATCTGTGAGAGCTGGTCAATGATAGATCCATTTTCCGGTAAGTGTTGGAGAATTTCATTGTCAATAATTATATCTTTGTAATAATAGTTGTTTGCTTTTAGCTATAATAGTATATTACCAACTCTATTTCGTCGTACGATAAAATCTCTGAAAGCTGTTGCATAATTTGCTGATTAACGTCTTACCACAAGTACATCCAGTGATGATGGATGCCTTAGAAGCCGATTTGTGAATTTTTGGATGTCTTGTGAAAAGTTTATAACGTTTCCCCTGTACCCATTTTGTCCTTCCTGTAGTTTATATATTGTCATTACCGTGAAGACTTGTGCTATGAGCATTTCTTCAATTTCCGTGAACCCTTGAAGTTCTTCTGATACATCTTTCAGATCTATGTTGTTTTCTGCCGAAAACTTCTTGATAGATGCCTTTTCCATATAGCAATGATGGCACTCTCCCTTTACAAGCGTCATCAAAGGTATTCGCTTATTACACGTGAGACAATAATTATACCGAATGTTCTCCATCTTGTTTCTGAATTTCATCAAAACACGGTGTTGGTCCTCACTAATTGTTGTGGCTGAAATTGGTCTATCAGATATGATTGTATTATCATTGTCTCTTTGAGTTGTTTCTTGACATATTGCAATTTCGTAACATTTTTGTTCTGCAACACTCATTCCTATTCTTTGCTCCATTTCATTTTTTTGTAATTGTTCCGCTGCCTCTTGATGTTTTTTCTACTTACTTCAGAACTCACATTTACGTTTATTTTCACGGTTAATACGCAATTCATGTTCCTCAGATATCTCTGTAGATTTTTTTTGACTTCTTAGAATGCGCATACTTGTAAGTCGTGCTTCCCGTTCTTCAACTGTTTTATCTGCTCTTCTTTGACGTTTTAATTCACTTTCTCATTTAAGACATGTTTCCCATTGTTCAGGTCCTTCACGATTTTTACTGTTACATTTCAGATTGTTTCAGGGGTTAGTATTTGAATCATTTATTTTATATTGCACTTTGATTAATGTCAAATGGATGAAATATTATAATTTGATTTTTATTAATTTTATTAATTTATTTTGATTTTGTATATTATCTGAGCAATTTAAATACATGCCCCAAACCATTTGTCCCCCCAAATCATGTCCCTAAAAAATCTGAATCAATATTACTAAACCAATCCGACCGGTTAATATTGATATATTGATATATGATATATTAACTACTATTTTGGATATTACAGTATTATTAGAGTTTTCAAATTAATTTTACTTTTTTTAGACAATTTTATTATTTTAAATAAATAAAAAAAATAATTACATAATAAATGAATTGACTTTTGCTATTGCTATTGATCGAAATTATAAAATAAAATTAAAAAGATATCTTACAAAATATGTTTCAAATTAATTAATTTTACTTTTTTGTAAATTTTATTATTTTATTAAATAAATAAAAAAAAATGATTACATGAGTGAAATGCTATTGATTGAAATTATAAAATTAAAAAAGAATTAACATGCCGTGTTTTCTTTAACCTTTGTCACATATTCTATTGTATGACGTAATTGATTTTAAAATTTTTATTTTATTATGTTACATAAACTACATAATTTATTGTATTCTTGTATTATGCAGATTACATAAAATTTAAACGTGATTTATAGCTCTGGACTTAACAACAGTTCCTGTTTCCCTAGTTTTATTTATACTATTATTTAGTCCTATAATAAAATTTCTCCAACACAGAATTTCTGCTTGATTAGCCTTTACCCTTTCATTTTCTATAGTACATGCATTTTTATATAAGCAGTTTATATTTTGCAATACGTCTGAACTTGATAACTCTGCTAGACCCTCCTGGGACTCTATCTTTTTTGGCAATTATTTTTCTCACAGTTCATTAGTGAAATTTTCATCATGTGATTTTTCTCAAACCCATCTATAGTAAAATCAAATATATCCTACACAATATTTTCTGCTTCTTTCTTCTTATGTGATCAAGATTCTTTGTCTTGAGTTACAGAAAGGCAAGTCCTTTTGAGACACTTAAGTCCTTAGTAGATGATTCATACAATAATTTTTTTTCCCTGTTTTTCTGCTTAATCTTATTACTAACCTTTTTCTTATCCACTTTATCTAAGAAAGAATCCATTTTCTTATTTTCTGATGGCTTAATATTCGCATTATTATTAGGTACTGATATTTCTGGTAATACCTCTGGTATCACTTTCTTATCATTCTGTTTCACTATTGTAAGTCTAGCCTCTAATTTCTTTACCTTGGTATCGCGCCTCTCATTATATTTCTCATTTGCTCTTAAAAACATGATATTTCTGTGCTTAAGTTCAGCTATTTTAGCATCAAACACTGAGAGTTTATTTCTAAGATAAGGAATCTCAGTATTCTCCTTCCTAAGCTCTGCATTATCAGCCTCAAGTTCAGTGATACACTGTTTTAATGATTTAAGCTTAAATGACATGATCTATATATAACTAATACATGGTATATAAGCATTCAAAATAAAAAATATCATGTAATTTTTCCTCACAGCCCGTCAGCAAAATTTGCCAAGAAAATTTTTTATTATTACATGTGAAAAATAAATACAAATGTTCAGGACTAGCCTATGATACATATTATTATTTTTTGATAATTTTTTTGACCCTAGCCCTCTTACTAGCTGGGGAACTATCTACAGTAATACGATCCTTTAACAACCCAACAATTATACCTATTACTTTTTCACGTTGCTTCTAAGTAATTCAGGATTTTCTTTGAGAAATTTTTTATCTATAATATGTAAAAGCGAGCGCCAAGCCGAAAGTATATTCGCAAATTTTTTATGTATCAATTGCTAGTCACAAAGGGATCGCTCCGGCAATATTTTTATTTAAATAAAGCATATATTATTATGTTATCGTAACACAGAGACCCGGAAAAATTCCGATATCAAATCATAAATTTTTATCACGATAACAGCAAAAATTCCGATTTTATTCCGATAAAAAAATTGTTTTATTTATTACTATTTTGA